GTGATCCCGCGGGGCGCGGGGCGGACGCCCGCGTGAGTGTTCTCAGTCGCCGCTGGTGCGAGGGACACAACCATTGCGCCTTTTCATAAATTAGTAAACCGATGCCCCGCCTCCACCCCCACCCTGCGGAGGATGCAGTCACAGAGAAGGGTCCCGGGACTCGGACTTCCAGCCCAAGGTGCTTCCCACCGCGCATTTCAGAAGTTTATAAAGTTACAAGCGAAGTGTTTGTAAGGCGGGGAGCCTCACTAGAGAGAACTCTGGGTGGCACTGTTACCTGACTATCCAGGTGGGTGATGATCGCTCGGCAGGATGGTCTCGTGGGCACCCGGAGGCGGAGAAGGCGGCCTTTAGGGCGCATTGAAGAAGCACGTGCCGAGCGGCCCCTCTGGAGCCTGCCCACCCTTGCTCCCCATTTCTTTCTCAGTCCTGCTCTCCCCGCCCCACCCCTCCCCAAGTTCTAAGGGTCCCAGAGACTTGCAACCAGGGAAGCCGTGGGCAGCGCAGCTCATCCCAGGCTGACCCCTGAACCTGTCTCCACGGCCCCCTTTCCTCTGACTTTTCAGTGAGCCGACAGCAGCCCCACCGCGGCTCAGTTCTTCCTATAACAAGCAGTTCCCACCCCGCCACCCCTACCCCCAGGTTCTCTGCTGTTGCTTCTTCTAGGCTAAGCCCCTCCTTGTTTCACGGTCCCCAGCTTTAATAAATGTGCTCTCAGAACAAACAAACAAAAACCCCCACACCTGTTGAGCACCTACTCCTGTGTGCTAAGGAGACACCGAGAACAGAAGTGGCGCCTTGTGGCTGACGATGGCTACAAACCAGTGCCCGGGCAGTGGTGACAGTGTGACCGAGGCGCAATGAGGAAACAGAGGAGGCACCGACCCAGCCGGGGGCATCCAGACAAGCTTCCTGGGGGAGGGGATGTCATAGCCAAGATCTGAAGAGTGAGCAGGAGTGAGGGGGAGAACGATCCAGTTGGGGGTGACATAGGGCACAGAAAGAGCGCTCCTGGCAGAGGGAACAGCAAGTGCAAAGGCTGGGAGGAGAGGAAGAGAGTAGCTCATTCCAGAAACTGAACTAGGGCCAGTGTTGATAGGGAAGAACATGGGTGTCTTCCCACTAGATCCCGCTGGCCAACGGGCAGCCCCGCTGCCAACCTGCCTCCTCCCTCAGCTGGTCCCCGGCCCCCTGGGGCTGCTGCCTGCTCAGAGCTGATCGGGTGTCAGAGCTGAGTGCACAGTGTTGCTGGTGCTCGCTAGTGGCCCAGCAGGGAGAGGGTAACCGGAGCCCGCAGTGAACACAGTGGCCTGGTGCTGGAGTCGCTGGGACTGCAGGAGGTAGGAGAGGAAGGAGAGAAGGGAGGCCTGGGATGGGGGCCCCGTTAGGACCTCAGGTTCCTGGCCCCTGAGCCCTAGCAGGTGGGAGAAAGGAGGGGCCGGAATATATCCCAACCACACCGAGGGACTACCCAGGCACCCCGACGGACACGCACTTGTGGGTGCATGCGCCTCCCACTTCTCAGCCTCAGTCCGTCTAGTCTCGGGTATGTACCCTCCTTTCCTGCTGCTTAGTATCCTGTCTGGCCTTCAGGCCCTGCCTATATATCATCGCCTCTTCCGGGAAGCGGCTCCCTAGATGAGGGCACTTCCCCCTCCCCCAAGCCCACAGATTCCCACCTGCTCAAGCAACCTGTGGACTCCTCTCGTGGGTGTCTCATTACACTCTTCTCTGGGTGTGATTGAGTCCTTCAGACAGGGGTAAAGAAAAAGGATGGGGTGGGTGGTGAGCAAAAGGGGTACATTGAGTGAATGGAGTAAATTGAAGAGGTGAATGAACGGATGGGCAGTAGATGGATGAGTGGGTGAATGGAAGAGTGAATGGATTTATGGAAGGGTGGATGGATGGTTAGATGGTAAGTTGATAAGTCAGTGTAGGGTGGATGGACGATGGATGAATGAGTAGATGGGTGGGTGGGTTTTGGATGTTTAGGTGAGTGCATACATGGGTGGGTGGGTAGATGGGTGAGTGGATGGCTGGATAGGTGGATGGGTGGGTGGGTGATGGATGGATAGATGGATAGGGGGGTGGGTGATGGATGGAGAATGAAGCATGGTTGGAGGGTGCATGAAGGACCATGAGAAGATGAGTTGGGCGGGTGAGTTGGTGGGGGGATATACAAGTCCTGAGGTAGGAAGATGGATGCACAGGTGAGTGGGTAGATGGATTTAAGCATGGGTTGGTGTGGGGGGGAGAAGGATGGGTTGGAGAAGTCATGGGCAGGTAAAAGACACACCTTCACAGAAATCCCACTCAGACATAGGAAGGGGTCCTGAGCCCCACATCTAGCAAAACATCCCCTCAAGGCACACCTGTCTGACCTGCCTATTCTTGCACAAGCATGGAACACAGAACAGGCCAAGGTGCACAGGCCTGCGTGCACACACATGCCTCATGCTTGTGTGTGCATATGCATGCACATAACCATCGACCCAGACATCCCCCCACCCCCACCCCCGTGGGTGACTTTCCTCCCTGCTTTTACTCGTGCAGAACCCAGGCTGGTAAAAGGGGATTTTGCTGCAAGGATGTTCTCTCTGACTCTCCAAGAAACATGCCTCTGTGCTAAGAGCCTCAGCCCTGGGCCTGGCCCCCAAAGAGCCCCTAACTATTCAGAATTCTAACTATGATAGAATTAGCCCAGACACTTTAAGCTTATGGAGCCAGGGCTGGGCTAGAAGGGACCCAAGCAGGGCTGGAGGAACCAAATTTGGTGAGTTAGAGCTCTGCCTGCTGGTGAGAGGCAAAACTGATCAATCAGAACATGGGATTGGAAACTGGGCTGCATCGGATGAATAGGAGTTCACCAGAGAAGGAATAAAGAAAGGGACATTTTAGGTAGAAATAACTGCACAGTCAAAAGCTTGGAGACCAGAAAAAACCTGATCTTCTTGGGCCACGGAAATAGTGGCAAAGTGCATTTTGGAGCCCCTACTGTTTGCTGACCCAATGCTACAGGCCTCACGGAAAATTAACCATGAGTTGGTCAAGGGGGGATGTCTTCCTTAATTTAGGGGTGAGAGATGTGAGACTTAGGGCAAATGCCCAGCTGAAGGACCCACAGCAGTTGGGAGATGGGGCATTATCTGTGTCCTGCTCAAGGGGCCAGGGCGGCGCAGGGAGGAGGAAGTGGTCCTTCTGAGGAGGGGAAGGTGCTGACCCTCCTGCTCTCCAAGACTGATCCCCTTCCCCCGTCCTTTCCCAGGTGGCCTGGGTCGCGGAGAAGCCTTGTGTGCTGGCCATGAAGACGCTCCGGGCTCGATTTAAGAAGACAGAGGTAAGGCTGAGGCCACGGAGCTGCATGCTGTCCCCCACCCTCAGGTGGCTGTTCCCCAAAGCCTGGCTGGAGATCCACTGGGCCTTTGGGCCTTTATCCTCTGCCCAGCAGATTCTTCTGGCAGCTTCCATAGGACCAGGGTCCTCCCGGTTCAAAACTCTTCCGTAG